TTAGTTTTCAGCTGTTCTTATACATCATTTAAGTAAAATCTCAGGAAGATCAATAGTTTTGTAGTTCGAATTTTAGTGACGTCACGTGAAAACCAGCTAGCCCTTATAAGGGATTACCCCCCCCACCGCCTGGTATCTCACCTCTCGCCAGTGCGTCATTGCCGGCAGAATCGATTCCTTGTGAATCACTCGGATTCATCATGTACTGGCGTCTATCTCCGTTTAATTCTGCGCTATATCAACTGGTTCTAATAAAGGAACACAAATCTTCATTGGTATTTCAGGTTCACATCAGGCCTTATCGTTTAGCACTCGATTGCAATGTGCACTGCAGACGTTTTATCGTTATTACTTTCTAAGAACTTTACTCTACGTTTGTCAGGTGGATTTGATCATGTCTTAGTCGCTCCCAATAATGTGGAGATGTGTGTCATATCACGTGAAGTGTTCATGGATAATTATATTTCTTTCTGAGGGAAATCAGTCTGAGTACATAGGCCTTAACGTACGCTTTTCGTCTGGTTAAAAGTTGAACTGAAAATAAATTTCTTGTCCAAGGAAAACAGTGATTCAGATTAAAAATTGTAAAAAAAATTCTCAAGGAACTCGGCTTCAAAATCGACAAATTTACAGAATAAAAGGCTTTATATTACAGGAGGTAGCTCACCTCTCAACGTGTTATCTTCAAAATCCATCTCTTGCGAAGGCCTTCAGTTCATGACTTTTATCAAGTCAACAATTGTTGTTATCAATTGATTCTTATAAATCAACGGATACTGGCTCTATTTTAGTGTTCTCTGATTCATTTGAAACTGAAGCGATGTGGTGAAAATAAACTGAAATTGAAACTGAAATTTACAAACTGTCGGCTAAACTCGTGCGGAAACTGAAATATGCTGATGGAAGAAGAAAACTATACAAGCCAACTTTTAACAACAACAAACAGTTATTAAAATAGGAAACTGATGATCCTGTATGGAATTTGTTTGCGGTGAGAATTAAGAAATGAAATATGACCGAGAAAAAGAGATTATGGGTCGACAAATTTACACAGCTTAGCATGTAGAGATGGATTCTACGATTATTTGAAAATTGTTTATTTGAGCCCAAACAAGTAAATACAGGAATGATCTCAAGATCGTGGACGCTTTGAACCATATAATGGTCGTACAAATACAATTTCCAAGAAAATTGTCTAACCACAATGCAGATATATTACAATAAAATGTAAAAGAAAAAAAAATGTAAAATGTAAAATGTATGTACAGTGGAATCAAGTTAATACGGCCACCAGAGGGACCCGCCAAAGTGTCCGTTAAGCAGGGTCTCAGAATAAACGTCACGGACACTTGTTTTGTCAACACAAAGACCAAAACATAAAATTTTAAAGTAACAGAACGTGACAAGCAATTGAACTCAAAGTTAAACTTAATGCCTATTCAAACAGTCAAATCCGAGGCACCCAACGACGGTTTTCTCACAAATTCTTTAAGGTGGCTCAAAACACTTTCCAGCACTTAGATTTTGACGGGTCATCATAACCACTCTTTATCACTTGATGCTACAGTCATGGTATCAAGTAACTGCCCAATCATTGGTGAACACGTTGTTATCATTTTCGAAACAAAATAGTTGCTACTATAGCAACAGTACGAATTGCTAAAAACACCCTTAATTAATTACAGCTTTAGGGGCTTATAATTCAAAAAAGGCACGGTGAAAAAAATTATATTACCAAGTTTTGATAAGCATGATAAGACGAGACTTTTGGCAACGTTTTGAATAAATCTGTACATGGGGTTCAGAGCCACCTTAAAGTTGTTAAAATTTAAGGTGACTTTGAACCCTTTGTTTTGTAGGTCAAGGTATCACGTGACTGTAATAGGCCACGTTCGATATATCAATATTTTAACATGGCTCCGAGGCTTTTAGGACAAACTTCTATATTTGTTGTTGTTTTCTTTGAATCTAAGTCTCTTTTGGGAATTGAGAGACAAAAGAAACAAAAAAATTTACAATTTTGATCCGAAAGTCTCGTAGCCATGTTAGAGTATTAATGTATTGAACGTGGCATATTTTTGCACTAAAAATAAAAACTTGTTTTGTTTACCTTCTGGGTATTGTTTAAAAGGCATTTCTACTACAATTCGTATCTTAAATTAACAGTTAACTCCAAAAAAGACATTTCGCAAAGGTGATGGACAAAACACTGACCTCCAGTCCATGGACTACCCCAATGGACTACCCTAAAATGGACTTACCCTAAAAATAATATTCGAAATGAGTACTATTCAAAGTTGTAAGCTGTTATACCTTGCTCTTCTTCATTCACGGTCTCTAGCCGCCATTTCACCCATAGACAGACTAACATTATTCAGTATTACCAGGTATTGTTTGCCGTGTGCCCGTCTTAGGATACCCTAACTTATAACTCATTCTTCCAGTGTCTATTACGAAATTATTCCTATTAGTTGCTCTGCAACATACAAAGAAAGCTAGATCTATTTCTAGTAATGCTTCTAATGAACCTCGAGTAACGCCCACATTAGTCTTCTTTAGGAGTTAAATTCAAATTTTCCCACGTGCATCCCTGACCTTCTCATATGGGAGGTTCCAAATGTCTAACAGGAAGTGAAGGAATTAAGGAGTGATGGAGTGAAATCGTCCCCCCACTACAACTTGGAAAATATAAATATTTTCCAAGTCAAAAAGCCACCCTGGCCTTACGGATAGAGTGTCGGTTGGAAAAGATTTTTTCGATGGGGATCAATTGCATGTCGTTAGCAGTGTGGTTAGCAGAGGACAGAAAATGTTCTGCCGCCGTAGTAGGTTTAGATTTATTGTTAGGGTTATCTATGGTACGGCGGTGTTCATTAAATCGGTCTTTTAAACGTCGTTTCGTCTCTCCTATGTATTGTAAATTACAGCGGTTACATTGAATCATGTAGATGAGGTTTTTTGTGTAACAGGTCAGGTTAGATATTATGGGGCGTGTTTCCCCGGTGTAAAGGAAGGTATATGTGGTAAGTCCGGGCAAACCATACCCTTCACAGCGGCAGTTACCCATATAACTTATGTCAGTACCCCCCTCTCCCATGCGGGACTACTGACAACTCTTCGCCAGTTAATAATGCTTTAACAACAGCATGGTAAACAAATATGATTATGATTATTATCAAAGTGTAATTGGCATGTCAAGATTCAATGATTCAGAGAGTTTAAGAAAATGTTTGGAGGGGATTCAGGCTTGATGTGGAATTTCTCTTCGAGTGTTTATAAAGTTGAACACGAGAAGAGAAATTCCATATCTACTGTCACTTTGTTTATTTTATAAACTTACTAAAACGGACGTTTTTGATGATTTTCCGAAGATTTCTGACCACTTTCCGAAGATTCTCAAAAAGTTGTCCGAAGGATAGACGAACGTTTCCGAACATTTCCTAAAATTTCCGAAGATACACGAAGACTTCCGAGGAAGGTCCGAAGAAGTTTCGATCATACACCAACAACTTTAAGTACACTTAAAGTGTTAAGATCAGGAAAAGCGATGATTAGAATTTTGTTGACCTCTAGACCAGGTTAAATATCTGGTATCTGTATCAGGAAAGTGTACGTAATGTGTAAGGTAATGTTCAAAACTATATTTATAATAAAATCACAATACAACTGTTCTCAACAACTTTTATTAATAGCACATAGTTATTAGATGTTTGACACACATGCTATAAAAATAGTTCGCTTAGATGTAATAAGAAGACTCTAACAAATTATCTTATAACCCGCGCTTAATTTTCGCGCAATTCTATTGGCTAGTTTACGTCACGTGATGCAAAATTACTAGGCAGTTATCACGCAATAACCTCCGCCTGCGTAGATAATTGCCCTGCGACTGTTTTTGTCGAAAAGAAACAAAGCTAAAAAGAATAAATCCAACTCTAGCATTTCACCGTTCATCTTTATCATTTTTCATGGAAGAATTCGAAAAACAAACTCTTCTTGGAATCCGCTGATAAAGACATTAAAAAAAACCTGGTCACCAATGCTGTTCCGATAAGTACAAAAAAAAGTCAACGAAATATGCAGAAAATTCATGAGAGGGTTATAAAATAAATAAACCCCTTTCTGGCTCGCTGGTATGTTGGCTGATAATGTCCTTGGTTGAGTGATTGTCCTCAAAATTTCACATTTGCCCTCGAAGCTTCGCTTCGCGGCCAAATATTCATTTTTCGGACAATATCTCAGCCGCGAACATTATCAACCGACATACCAGGCGCCAGAAGGGGTTTATTTACTAAATAACAGCAGCCCTTTCTGACAGTACTTCAAGTCACCTAGCTACCGAAAACTTCCGATAGTATGCCTCTAGTAAATCCCGAAAGTAACAGCTCGAGCAACGCCCGAAAGTATCACCTAACCGCTAAAAATAAAGAGACCAAGGTTTATACATCGGTATATTTATTTCTCCAATCAATAGTTAAGTGAACAGGAAAATGAACTTTTCTTTGCATAATTAAAATTTAAAACTCTTCATGTCATTTTCAACAGGAATGTAGGTAATAACGGAAACGTTTCAGCTTCAAAAAAAAAAANAAGGGTGTGTGGGTGCAAGGAGCTTAAGGTGGAGGAATAGAGATTCCTTGTTTCTGTGATGTCACTGTGAAAAGGGGAAGGTGATTTAAGAGCTCAGAAAAGAACTCCAGGAGAAACTTGCACAACTTGTGCCTACAACAGACAACACGGTGTAGACATGAGGAGGCCACCCCATGTTACTAACATGAAACTGGAACAATGACGAATTTTACCTCGTTTTGTTATGAATTGCCATCTTTTATTTCGTTAAGTCTTTGGAATGGGTAAGTATATTTGTTTAGAACCAACATGATATTAAGCAACTTAAATTTATTAATTTTTGCATGTATAGGTAATCATATGAATGCGAGTGCAATTAAAGAATTACACTACAAGTGATATTTGAAAGAAATTTTCAAATCCTTAATTGCTCAAGCTTTCATAAGATTACTCATTTATTATATGAAAGAGAACATTGTGAACACATGCACATTAATTTGGACTGCAGTGCAAATTAAGAATTAACAATAAATTGGCCTGCTCCCAGCAAATCACAATGAAGTACTTTTTTCAGTCTTATAATAAAACGGTTTTATTTTACTCGTCAGTTTTCCATGTAATTGGCTCATCTTTTTCCCATTAGCCCGCTGTAGATTAACAATGAAATGCTGTAAAATAGTTACCATAATAATTGTCACAAAACATTAAACTTCTCAAATATAGAGGTACTCTCTGTAATAATTGTTCATGCAATACATGGGTCATGCAATAAATAAATTTTAAAAAATAACTTGCCTGTAAGATGTCTTGAAAAAGGGAATGAAACAAAAATAAAACATTGTTTTTGAAGTCAGGAACACGTTGTCAGTGTAAGAAACCTTTCATTATCGGAGTAAGATGAACAACTGTCTAAACGTGATAAGATATCTAACAATATTCATATGCATGCATATATAATAGAATTACAATAAGTTTAATATAATATACAATACAATTATTATTGAACTCTATACACTATTTTCCTTGGACAAAAACCCTATACAATAGAAAATCGTTGTCTGTAATATATTGTAAACCTAATCATTATAATATTCATTAAAGTGTAAAGATAATACAAAAATTAAAGCAAGAAAATATTCGAATGCCAACTTTACAACTTTACATTCAAGTCCAGAGCAAGAGCCCAGGGGAGACTTACACATAAAAAGGATGGGGTGCTTGTCGTACATTTTAGAGGTAAAAAAAGTAGTTTTGGTACCTCTTGGGGTATTCAGCCTCAAAAGGTCCACAACTGGAGCTTTTGCAGTACCTTTTACAGTATTGAGCCACAAAAATGACAGGTAATATGTTGTTTTAGAATTGGTACCTCTTAGGGGTGAAAAACATTTCAAGCCACGCCCACAAAACAGAGTCTTGATACCTCTTAGGGGGTCTTTTCAAAATTTCTGACTCATGAACGCCCCCGTCCCTGTTATAGGGGAGTCCCCTCCCCCCTGGGCAAGAGCAAAGCAAGAAAGATAAATTGTGAAATGTCCAAGACATTAGCAGATATTTCAGTGACATTCAACCGGACTCTGAACACTGTTAAATGATATAATATTTGACACTGAAATTGCATATTTTTGGTATAAGGGAATTTGGGTGGTTGATACCTGCAGATAATCATGTTATAAATAAAATTATGTATTAAAATTTCTTGTTTGAAGAATTCAGTTTAGAGTTTGGTTTTGCTTTTACACTTCTCTTGACTTGAAAAATAGGTCAGAAAACATTGAAATGTTATATCTTGAATTAATTTTTGCATTTTCTGCTTACATGACACAACACATGTCTTTCATATTAATTTCCTACATTGATCATCTACTCAGCTTAAGCCAGTCTGGTAAAGGCTTATTTAACTGTTGCAGTAAATCCACAAGATTTTTGTTTGGTTCCTTGTAGTAGTCTTCCAAGAATTTTTGAGACTTTTTATCCATGGGTGTGTAATGCCGCCCTTTGCCCTTGCCAAGGCACTGGGTACCACCTTGAGATGTGACTTGACAATAAAATCCTTTGCGCTTGTCAAATCTGAAGAGGAAGAAAGACAAGCATGAAGGACAATCTGCACCTCAACATTACCTGTTTCTTTGCGGGCATTGAAGGCCTAATAGATTATTACTTGGAAACACTTCTCTTCTCAGTAGAATACATCTCCATGTTTTCACGTCTTCCTTTATCACCAGTGTTAGGTATATTGTAATTTACTGTACCCAAATTGGTAAATATTAGCAAAGAAGTCTTGCCTTCTCGCAAAGTCTTGCATTCATCACCTCTAAATCTTGAACTTTCAATATTAATTTTGTCAGGCCAAATCTTGAATTCAAATATCTTGAATTTCCACATCTTGAATTTTCAATATTTGGCAAGCCAGAAATTGAATTTCAAAATTTGAAATTGAATATTTCAAAATTTTGGTTGGCTAAATCTTGAATTTACAAATCTTGAATTTCCAAACCCTGAATATTCAATATTTAGCAGGCCAAATCTTGAGTTTTCAAAACTTGCACTTTCAATATTTGGCAGCCCAAATCTTAAATTTCCAATATTTGGCAAGCCAAATCATGAATAGCAAAATTTGAATTTTCAACATTACATAGGCCAAACCTTAAATTTCCAAATCAAGAGGTGAATAGTCTTTCAAAAACCATGGGTCTTGCAAAATTTTTGCTTAATTTCACGGGTCTCAGAATCTCGTTTTTTAAAAGGAATTCTCGTTTTATAAAAGGATTTGAAATCTAGCTGGGTTTTACAATTTAAAAAGTCACAATGTCTTGGGCTTGCAAAGAAAAACACTACTCTTGCCTTCTCCCAAAGTCTTGTATTTACCATTTACCACGCCTTTACATTGCACAGTTGACAGTTCACCTTAATCTCTTGTTATAGTCATAAACATTGACACCAAGGAATTTCTGCACCTCCAGCATCACTGCAGCGGGATCTGTCCTCAGCTTCTCACCGTCAAGAATAAGAATCTAAAAATGTGAAACTAGGACTGAAAATGATCCACTTTTAAGGCAACTCCTGACTAAGTGTCTAGTGCCATATTATTTTTAATGAACATCATTGCACACATTTTACAAACCTTGGAGGAAGGGTAATACATCAACCATCTCTCCAAATGTTGTGCATATAATCCAGGTAACAAACATCGCTGGCCAAGGCCTTTAATATCTTTATCTTCTGGGGAGTTGGCACTTGTCAAAACTTTGTAGAATGGGTTCAGGGCAGCAGGAACACCATGACTCTTCATATGCTATGTGAAAGACACAATGTAATATATACATGTACATGTACATTTAGCCAAGGCACAAAGCCGAACTCCTGGGCTGGGTTGTTCAAAGCCTCATGAAGCTATCCCAGGATAAGTGAGAATTTTGATTTGAGTTTTGCAACATTACAGTAAGGTTTTCTGTTTATACTGTTTGGCCTTCTGTTTTGTGTTTGAACAATCTCAAACTGCAAAAAAAGCACTGAAAAACATTTGTATAACAGAAAAATTTATACTTTGGATAACTTTTAAACCTGGGTTACGGTTAACTGGCTTCTGAACAACCTGGCCTTGATTACTACAAGTTAACCTGACATGAGCCTGCAATCCAATCAAAAACCACCACTTGCTCAGTGGTCAACTTTAAAAAAATATGTGATCTCAATGAGCTCTCAACTTGAGCCCATGATATGGTCACGTGATACTGGTCAGCATATTTCATGTTTCAACAGGTGTTAATTGACCATAACATGGATGTCCAATATCAAAGAAGTACACTGTACACTAGAAACCAAGGCTGCAGGTCTCTGTCAACCTATTAACTGGAGTATGACAGCCATCTTGGGCGACTCCGCCACCTTAGTCGTCATGCATACACAGCTAAGAGCAATATCGCTAGCCATGATAACCATGAGAAAATCTATGCAGGGGTTTGCTTTTCTTCCCTATATGAGAAAGGTGCTCCGCTTGGCAGGAGCTCCACCATTATATAAATGTGCGGCAAAACTGCTCAAAAGGTTTTACTGAACCACCCTGCCTGAACGATAAACAATACCAAATGAAAGTACTGCTCAATAGCTTTCATTTGAATAGTCACACACTAGGGTTTCATCCACAGACTTAAAATTAAGGGCTACATTGTGAAACTTAATAACAAACACTAAACAAAAGTACCATGGGTGTGACTCAAAAGAAAGGAAAAAAATATGATTGACACAAATCTTCTTCTGATCAGGTGAACCCCCCCACCCCAAGCAGTAAAGAAAGGGCATTGAAAATGAGTCACAAAGCTATCAACTTGTACCATGTACCTGATACCACGAATACGCTCTCTTCATCGGGTTTAACAAGATTGTGATGATTTTGGCTTCTGGCAGCAGAGCATGAGCTCTCATCGGCGTCTTTCTGGCGTCAAAGTAGTTAGCACTCTTCTCAAACAAGACCATGTCGCTGTAGTTACTCACATCAGGAAAGAAATCCATGTACCTAACACAAGGAGTCATGACAAAAATATCACTTCTCTTTACTGAAACTATACAATGTCGTTAATGTTCATTTTGAGAATTTGGAATTTGGTGGTACAGAGATATAATAACTATCTTCTAGTAACTAAGGGGGCAGGGGTTTCATTAATGTTTTCAGCAAGAGGGCAATTGGTTTTCACAGACCGGTAAAACCATTTTTAACTGATTGGGGAACTCCTTTATAAGAAAAACGTTCCTCTAGATGATAAAGCCAGGTGGGCAAAATCATCCTGACAGCTGGTCAATTTGCCCAGTGCCTGGCCCTAAATGAAACCCCTGTTGGAGTGCAGATTGATAAAAAGAATTTTCCTTCTGTTGCTGTGAAGAGGTTGCAAACAGGTTCTCTCTCACTAACTTGTCTTTTAAGCAGCACTTGCAATTTGACGTGTCATAATAACAAAACTACTTTAGAACATAGTTACAGAAGGGAATGGTTATGATGCCTGACAAACACCAAAAGGAGCCAACAAAGATAGCTAGATTTATGCTGGAAGGTCCATGACTGTGCACAATCTTTTTGCGCTCATGCACCATGCATAAATTAAGTACCCAAAATGTTTAGGTTAGTTCCTCAGTCTACAAAGTAAACAACTATTGTGTTTTGTGCACAGTCAAGGCCAAAAAAGTGAACAAAAACATACAACAAAGAACTTTGCCAGGTTTCATAACTATTTCCCTCTAACAGCTAAGATTAGAAACATCTGAGCACTCACCAGTCCAAACCCCTGATGTAATTGTGCCCATTGAAGAACTGGACCTCTTCATAGGTGCTAACACTCTGTTCATTGCTCATGATATCTGGATGCATCTTCAAGAATGTGTACAAAGCCGTTGTACCTGTCTTTTGAGGACCAACTACAAGAAATGATGGCAGCTTATTGCAGTTCTTTCCCAATGACCAGATTTCCTTGTGTCGTGGATCCAAACAAGGATTCTGTCAAAAAATAAAAACAGATTCCAGATCCGGATTGAAGCTATAGAATATAGATTTTGGATATACATGTAGCTATAAAATACACTACCCACTAAAGAGGAATGGTGATCTCATGGTTAGTGAGCTTGACTCTGGATTGAGCAGTTGGGGTTGGAGTCCTGGCCTGGCCTGTTTTGTTCTTTGGCAGGACACTTTACTATCAAAATACCTCTCTCTACCAAGGTGTACAAATGGGTACACCTTGGTAAATTTAATGCTCGGGATAACCCTACGATGGACTAGGATCCCATCCAGGAGTGAGTAAAAATATTCCTAGTTGCTCAATGCAACAGAAGCTGGGTTAAGCTGTGGCCTGATGGGCCATTTCGCTTGTATTCAGAAATTACCTTAAATTTCACCTATCTACAGTTGTACTAGCCACTAGTTGTACTAGCCTATCTACAGTTGTACTAGCCAATTAATGCAGTTGGTTTCCATGGCCAGACTCACTATAACCTGTGAGTGGCAGTACTCCATGAGAACAACCCAGGTAACTACAGAACACTGGGACACTAGCACTGGGCAGAAATAAATTTTGAAATCCAGTTACCCAGTGGGCCAGTACATTTCAGTTTTCAGTTGTCCCCATTAAAATATTACTTGCCCAATGGGTGAACAATGTTCATGCCTTATCAGTGACAGACTATATCAGAGGACGAATGTGAGTAAGGTACTGTATGCTTGGATCTTAAATTAATCCATGCTTTCAACTCAATGTTTTGCTCATTTTACAGTCTTAAGTTTTGAAATTGTTTTTGATCGGAAATTAACACCAACAAGACTACTGAGGCTAATTTCACTTGCCCACTGGACCACCAAACCTCCTTGTTCACTTACCCAAGAGCAAAATTTACTTGTCCTAGGCAATCAGACCTGGTTTTTTTCCTGCCCTGTAGTATGTCAAGGCAAAATATGTGTATGGCTATCAAAAACATACATGAAGACAATACCTGCCAAACCGGTTCTATGTCGCCTGGGAACATTGCAAAGTACCTCTCAGCGAGGGCTGTAGGGTGCTCAGTGCTCAATTTCAGATTGGTCCAGCACTGAAGGTACTTGATCAAGCTGTCAAACACAAGTAACGCTAAGCGATCAGAGCCATAGTTTGAGAGGTGTGTCATAAAGATGGAGATCTGTAAACAAGGTAAAATACACAAGATTAAAGTCAGTGACTATAAACAATGATGGCTTATCACGCCAACAGTAAACACCAATTTCTGTAGCATAAAGCTACCTGGAGTATTAGCCTACCAGAGATGCCAACATAGTGAAAAATCTAAGAGATTGTTTGATTTTCTCTTCTCAATTAAGTTCTGCTGATTCAAAAGTCAACTATCTCCAAACATTCCCTTAAATTGGCCAAACTAAATGTGAAAATTTATACATTAGGCATTTCCTTTAGGTGGTCCCTACAGAAGACCACAAGATTTGCCCTGTATTTGAAAGACTACCGGATAGCCCTGGAAAGTTGACAAGGATGCCCCACATGGGTTGGTCAAACAGCACCATAACCAAAATACTCCAAAGGTCTGGGTAAGGCTGGGTGTGGCCAAGAGACAATAAAGCCAAGGCTTATTTCAGTTTCTGTAGAATTAAGTGACTAGGAGCATATCTACTCCCCCCTGAATGGAATGCTAGTCCATCACAGGGCTGCGTCCAATGTTATACACTCTCGTACTCATCAGTACACCCGGGTGGGGAGAAGCACAGTGGGAGTAAAATATGTTGCCCAAGAACACAACATAATGTCCCAGCCAGGGCTCAAACCTATGTGCTAACTATATTTAGTAGGGCACTGTTTCTCACAAAATATAACTAAAGAATGTTTCTTTGCTTATTTCAAGAGGTGTTCAATTAGATGGAACCAACTTTTAAGGTGGCTTCAGTGAAAGACAGGGTTTTAACTTTTGGAAAGACTAGTTTTTGTAGTACCTTATGAACAATGTACAAATTTTAACTTACAGGATTGTCAACAACAACTTGGAAAAGCTGACCCCCGTGGATGGTGTCTTGTAACCACTTCTCTCCTTTAGGATACTCTTTGAGGTACAGAGTGTGAGTATAAAGACCACATGTTTGACGAGGAAGAACCTAAAACGGAAAATTGAAAGAATCACATTAAAATCCATGCAAATAATATTGTATAGTAAAATGTCTTTGTACCTCTTGCACATGTTGACGATGGGCCTAGCACCCTGGGCTTAACACTTGGGTACTTGATGTGTTCAAATACACACACCCTGGCATTTCAAGTGATTTTCACTTGGGTGTTGAAAAGTAACTGCTTTTCCATTACTATGCTACACAACTCGCTTAAAAAAAAAGTGGTGCCACTTTTTTAACCAATCAGAAGTAAAACCAAAACCAATCATGACTTGCTGGCACACATCTTCTAGCGCTTCACAAAGCATGTATTTACTTTGAGTTTCGATGGTCCATTGAATTGTCTGTGTCTTTTGTGATTGACAATTGAAAACCACTCTACACAGTTCAATAAATTAAGGAAAAAAGTTTGATACTGTTCATACACTGTACCTTGATATTCTTGTACACAAAGCCTCTACGAAACCTGGCAGGGTACAAATGAGGGTACTCCTCTGTTGACGTCACTCTCAAGTTGTAAACTTTCTTCCAGGCCTCATAGAGAATGTCGTGAGGTGGGTAAACCCCAGAATGGTGAGGAGCAACGGCATAACTAGTATTTACTGGAATGTTATGTTCCTAGATATAATGTAAGAAGATGAAGCACATGTTTAGTATAAATGAAATTTACACCATTCCATAAGCAGTCATACAGCCATTCAGAATACAAGAATGCTGTTGTATACATGTACTTGATGGTATTGCATACAACCTTCCCATCATGCACTGTATTGATTGTATGACAAAATTAAGAAGGCTTGAGTGTATACCAAGAAAAATACAAGTGAGTCAAGGGCTATTCCATGGTATCAATAATTTTGATGCCATCAAAAATGGCGGAGGCTGACTAGGGTCCTTTAATTAAAGTAGTTTCTTTTTGAATATGTATCATTGGTGCATAGTAAACAAACAAGGCAGGTCAGTGTTCATTGCGAACAATTTTCTGATAAGATATTCATTAACTTTAAGGCCTCTGGAGCCCAAGGTACAACCCAGATTTTATTGCTTGTCTTCTGTAAGTGAACGTGAACACATGCATGATCGATCGATGCTTGTCTTTTATCTTGCTTTCTGCGGTAGTCAGCAGTGTGGTCAGTTCATTTAGACTTTCACACTCTTGTCTGTTCCCTCCAGAAAATCCCCCAATACCCTTGGAATTCCAATTGTTAGTAGCCCCCCCCCCATGCCTTTCGATTTCCAGTTCAAAGAATCTCCCTTGCCGTCGGAATTCCAAAAAGTCATCCCTGGTATAGGTATGGATATTTCCTGGAATCACCCATTGTCAGCACCCGTTTATACATATGTACATACATGTACACCTGGGTGGAGAAAGGTACTACATGTATGAGATTAAAGTGTCTCGCTCAAGAACAGTACGTAATGACCCCAGCTAGGGACTGATCAATGTGGAGTCCATTGTACTAACCACCGGACCACCATACTAAAAACTCAAAACTTGGCCAAAATATGTCTGAGACTAGGAAATTAAAGCATTTCCCCTTTATGTCCAAGACAATCCAACAATTTGTCTGGGAAAGTAAGATATTTAGTCCACTGATTTTTCGAAAGACTCCTGGAATCCTAGGGCATTAAGCTACATGTATACATTTGTAGCAACTAAGAGGGATTATAAGCTTTTTTAATCCACACCTTTGCAAAGTCTAAGTTCTTCTTGAGATCGTCCACCATCAATTCCAAAGTCTTCCTGTTATGCGGCTGTTGATGAAGCCACATGTGACTGAACCACCAGAACTTGTCAGCATTCTTGACCAGGTCTCGATCACCCTCATCTTCTTTGTCATTCCCTGCCAAGAAATGGCCTCCAGAGAAACCAAGGTTGAAGTGAAAGCCTGGTACTCTCTCACGGATTTTCTTTTGTACAGAGATCAACGCCTGAAGGAACAATAACGGTTACACCTCAAATGCTGTTTGTTCTTATTGAAGGGATTCAGACCATCTTTAAAAAGAGTCTGTAAAACAACACCCTGTTTTGACACAGTCGCATATGATCTGTGACACAATTCTGCTGGTTTGAAGCCAGTTCATCCAAAAGATACTACATTGAATAAAAGTTTCTCCATGATAAAACTGTTCTTTTTTAAGTCCTAGCCGGCCCAAATGGGAAATGTGTTTTGGCGATCAAACACGATCAAACATTACTTGGTGACCACACAAAATGGGAAACCAAATAGGAAAATTTGTTTGGTGACCAAACAATGTTTGATCACGTTTGATTGCCAAACATTTCTCATTTGGACAGGGCTTTTATGTGTAAATACATGTAGCACACCACAACGTGACCAGTGACTATTGCCATGGAAATGGAAGCTTGGCATGATTATACATAAGATTTGAAATTATGTAATTTTGAGGTTAATCCATTGTTTTTTTGAAAGCAGACACAGGAATAAAAGAAACATGCTGTTTTTATTACTGAAACATGCCAGTAGGTGGTTGAAGGAAATATGACATAAACCTCACTACATGTTAAAAGGCAAAAATATCAAAAGTACCCTAAACCTTAGCGACTGAAGAGGTTAGGTCAACTTGCAAAAGTAATTATATTGTAATTGCTCTCAAGTGAGTGTTAAACATATACATGGCTCTACTCTAATCTGTGAAAATTTTCAGAGAAAGGCGATATTATTTTATAGGCACTTTAAATAAATAATGCATGGATAATAACATGCACAAAATCGAAGAAACTATTTCAAAACAAACTGTTGAAAGTACGCCTATTATTCAAATGCGACGTTTTCCTAGCTAATTCACTCATTTAAAAAAATACTGTTGTCTATGCAACCTGGAAAGGCTCAGGAGTATTTTTACTGCTGTGGAGAACTGAGCAGTGTGGTATAATGCCCTCACTTAAATTAACATAACAGAACAGTCAATTAAAAAGATGTATCGAGGCTCATTGAAAATTGCCGTGGAAATAAAAAAATTAAAATCTTTTTTCCTTTGCGGGGCAAACAAGCAAACGTGGGAAATATAACGATAATTAACTTAAAGACAAAATTAAAACATACCTGCACATCTTCTTTCGTCATACGAGCGCCTGTTTTGCCAACGAATATGTCATCAATATCGACTAAAATTCGTCGCTCGAGTGAGTGAGCAAATTGTCCTCTTGACAGAAAAGCCAGGGCGTCAATAAACAATAATTTGTGCAGCCAAAAAGACAGACCACCTCCAAAGTACACACGCCGTATGCCATCGAGATGTCCTTGGTCAGTTATAACTATGATGTGTTTTGTTGATGTGACCTTCTCTTCAAACACAGCGTTTTCGAATTTGTCTGAAGCTCGATTTTGTTTACTCGTGCGCAATGAAGTAGTTGTGATCTCTTGCATTGCGAACTCGACGGCTTCATAAGTGCTGTGATTAGGAAAAAACGTGTTCCATTTTACTTTGGGAGGTTTTTCAATAATCCCACCCGCTCTAGTGAGTCTTAAAAGGCATGCCGAAGGATTGAGTTCGACATTTTGGAGGTCGCTTAAACCCGTCTTGATTCCTAAGTGTAATTCATCAAATGTGTGGACATTAGGCCCGTAGTTTTCTTGTTCTGTCATTAACACAATTCCAATAGCAAATTGACGGCAGTACTGGTCAATAAGTTGTCTATTTGTTTTCCCCAGTGATACGTAGAACTTGATACTCTCAAATATAACAGCAGAAAAACGTCCGATTCCTTCGTGCGCCAACTCTGGAAAGAATGTTTTGTCGCCAACTTCGAGGTAAACGAATTGGTGAGATAGACGGTTCGCCTCCAACGCATGAGCTATTTCTGATCGGAAAGTAACCGAAGTCTGTCGAATTGCAACTAGGATTCTTTTCTCCAATTTGCGCGTTGCGTTGTGCCCTAATTCTTGAAATTCTCGCGATCCTGAACTGCTTGCAAATCTCGGCTGATAGCATTTCTCCTCTGCGAAAACAGGGATTCGTTTCACAGGTTTCAAGTCGTTCGAAGCATGATACACTAAAATCCAACATGAAACTACAGTCAACAACACCAATCCAATAAGGAACTTTCGTAGTTTGGATCCACTGCGAAATCTCCAAATCCTCATCGTTGAAACACATGAATCCGCAGTGCCAACGCACAACAACAGCCCAGCTACATTCTACTACAGAAAGCAAACACCGCATGTGCGGACGTCAACAGCTCGTCGGAAAATCCCCAGGGGTGCGTATAGTGGCAAAATTGTCATTGCTTCCATACAACTAGTAAAATATATCGACTAGTTGTCACTGCCCTTTAGTGATTGACAAAGATTAAGTCAAAATTTGTAATACTGTCATAATGCTGGGTATTTCTCAAAACTGACACAAAACAATCAAACGAAAATGTGCATTCCGCACACTCCCCTCCCTAAACATTACGATTTGAATAAGATGACTGCTGACACAAGACGCATTTTCTCGGCGATATTACATTCGTCCAAAATCTTCTCCAAACAAAACAGCAGGGGGCTTTTAAGAGTTGTATGACATTTTGTTTGAGCTTTTAAATAAAGACGACACGTAGACACACGTTGGCAACGAGAAGTTAAACTTTTCATTCATTATTTCGCATAAAAAACAACTTTGGCGCCTGTATTTTAAACAGGGGAAGTCATTAAGTTTATAAAACCATCCAATTTTCAGTTTCCCTGTTTCAGATTCGAAACGGAAAAACTTATAAACGATTATTTTCAAAACTGAACTAAACGGAAATATGCAGGGAAAAGGGTTATTTCTAATTAATCTCACCTCTGCGGTTTATGTTTTTGTTTGCGGGTTTTTTCGCGGTGCGGTTTTCGTCGGAAAAGACTTCTCTCGAACAAAATATTCGATTGTCTTGCCTAATTACTTTTACAAATAAAGACTTCCCTTCTTTTTGAAATAACCGGGTTTTACGAGACTTTGTACACGAGATGTAGTTAATAAATTGTCAATTCAAGGGCTATTAATTTTCAAAATTAAAGAGAAGCCCTGAAGTGTCACTTTGCAAATGCGTACATTTACATATCAAGTTATTTTTAACACAAGGGAAGATGCCATACTGTTTCAGAAGAGCATAATCGATCAAATGAAACGAAGATAGTCTCTGACTGTACTAGTTAACGTTTTTTTTTTTTTTATCACAGAATTTCATTTCCCTCAGAAAAACAAACGCTGTCGCAGAAAATCGTGGAAAATGGCAGCATAGAATTTTCTACACATTATCAGAGTTGATACAATATATTTTTTATTTCTCTTTATATTCTTATATAGCTTTTAAACATTTGTATAAACTTTACATATATAAAATCAATATATACTCCTTCGTTGTATTGATCTTTAAAATAGACGGAACATTTTGTACCGCGATATTTTTCTTGTTCACAGAGGAAAGCCATAGCGTTACGACTTGATAACCACTATCTCTTTTTTCCACGTGGTCAAAAATATATATACATTTACGAGGAACTTCTTAAGTTTTTTTATTTAGTTATTCATATTTCTTTAGAAATTCGGTTGTTTATTTTTCATATCTTTCTGTTAATTTCCTCTGAGTTTTCAACCAATCAAAGAGTTAGCAACTGGCGCGTGACCACACTCAAAATAACTCCGTTTCTGATTGGTCAAGCAAACGGGAAAACCAACAAAAATGAATGGAATCAATTGAGTAGCAGCGACACCGGGTGTGTATGGCAGTAAATAACAAAAACATAAGTTGTAAATAATAAAAATACAAAAATGCAAATAATAAAATATAAACGGGATGAAATATGGACATTTTGATGGGTATGTATGCACTGATTTGTAGAAAAAAAAAGAATTCCACGAAAACGGAAAATCGCATCAGATGCAAAAGTCTTTCCAAAACATTTGTCTTAGATTGCATTAGTTTTCAGGGCAGTTGCAACCTGAACACAACAAACCATTATGAAAGAGCGTTATTTTGTTTTGTCACAAAATCGAGTTTGGCTCGACTGGGGCCATGGAGAAGGCCAAAGTAAAAGCTAAGTGTCCAGTGACGTCAACATTCGCCAGGTGTTTCAGACTGCATTTCAGACATCTTCGAGATTGCTTTTATCGTAATGCACCCTGATAGCGGAGTGTTCTTGTGCTCTTGTCCATAGTAATAAAATATCGATCAAACCAGCATTTTATTACTGTTTGCGAAGTAGAAGCCACTTCCATAAGCTCCTGCGATCCCCCAATCTCTCTATTCACCCGTGAATCCACTTGGGCAGAGGAAATTCGATCTTCTGGTTCATGCGCAGTAGATTCTGATTATGCCTAGAGTAATACCGCTGAAGGTACTGTTCAGTCTGCCGGCTCATATGAACTGGTCTAGATTCCTTAAATCCAAGGCATTCCGTCACGTAAGTGGAGGATTTAGGACAATAAAGGCCGCTCTGTTCATCGTATCTGTTAAAAAAAACAAAAAACAAAAACAAAAACAAAAAAACACTGAGTGAACAAGGTGTACCCTTTTAATATCTTCAGTGAGTGTTTCCACCCTGGGGAACACTGAGGAAAAAAAGCACAGGTAAATGCACTTCAGTAGTCTCAATCTATCAACGAAAAAAACAAGTCCATTCACCTAAGATACCTCAAGTAGGAATAGCGAAATGGACGCTCTAACATACCTTAGAAGATGCGAGTACTCCACGCGGGTTTCTACGTGAACAGCTTCTTGAATTGTATTCATGACCGTGATGGGCCTGGAAACCAAATCATCGACGCTCACAATGGACATCTGTGGAAGAACAATTTGTGACGTTAACTTTTCACTGTCGCCAAGAATGACCAAATTCTGATTTCTGCTTACCATATTCTTGCATTTTCAAGGAGGCAGGTAACGAGAATAAACTTAATGAACCAAGACAGATTTTCTTGACGTATCGCTAAATCCCCAAAGTAGTATTACAAGAATCGTATGGTAACTGGTAAGGAGAGTTAATATTCTTATTACATTAAGATTCTGTCGCATGGAAACTCGGGGCGCGTTTTGTCGTTTGCAACGAATCATATTGCTATGCAGACTAAATTATTTTACGGCTCACAATATTTTCCCGTAAGAGACATGCGATACTGTCGATACTTCAAGAGTAACAGCTGTTCTTGGAAATTTTGTAGAATAACAGCACTGCCACGGTATTTGAAGAAAAAGGGCTTATGTTGCAACCTGGGGGACCTTGGGGCCGAAGCAATATTTTCGGGACGACGCGATATTTTGTAAACTTTCGCCCAAAAATATCGCGTTGTCCCGACTAGCTGCCCCTGGGTCTCAGAGGATGCTTATGTTGGAGCACAATCCTACTTTAATAAATACTAGACAGTCCGAAGAGACGCCAAGACCAACAACTTCTTACACCACGCATCTCACTGACGGATTTCAAAACAGGACTAACCTGTTTGGCATTGTAGTGTCTCATCCACCGAGCGATGTGTTCAGAGTAGTGCCCAGCCTCCAGAATAGTTCGCCTAACGTTGGACAGGCTTGGATCACCATTGGATTTGACGAGATCGTCAAAGCTAGGAAGCTGTGAATCTTGAAGAGTTTTTAGGTACTACAACAGAAAAAAAAAAGTACATTAGATCTAGACTCTCTCTGGTGCGTTAGCAGTTGTCTATTCAATGTCAAATTCTCGCATAAAACCGTGCTATAAAGCAATTATTTTCGACAATTTCCTGGAGAGGTAAGTTCCTGTTTTAAACTTAAGTTTTGAGCTGTGTCAGAGCCTGATTACATGGCGAATTTCAGTCCGGGCTGAAATTTCAGCCTGGTTAGCCGGGCTGAAATTTCTGCCCGGCTTCTGAAACAAATTCTCATGAAATCAAATTGGTGATTACATGAAGAAGGATTCAGCCCGGGCTGAAAATCCTAGCCCGGGAAAACGGGCTGAAAAATCGGAAAAATTCCCATGTAATCGAAACGGAATTTCAGCCCGGGCAGAAAAGCAGGAAACTAGATGGCTGCCGCTACGCAGTAGAAGCGATTTCAGTGGAATAAAGGCGATAAAATAGAGAATCTCTCTAATTTCAAAGTTCAGATGGAATATAAGAACATCGAGACAAGGTTAAACAGCACGAGGCTGTCAGGCAAGCCATGAACTTGGCAAGCTTGAGGACATATTTTCTTTCTATGCTAGTACGTCTTTCTGGCTGAGAGATATGTAGCCAAAGACAGGTTTCGTTCAGTTCCATCATCATTGTAGGGTGCTACTATTCCAAAAAGTTAAAAATTGAGCGCCAGCAAAAGGTCAAACGACAAGAGAAGCAATGCGCCCATTTTCACGATTCGTGTTCTCGGCGCCATTTTGATTCTCCTGAGACTTTTTGCACACAATTTCATATTTGGCACCGAGGCTAATATTTCAGCCAGGGCTGAAATTCGTCATGTAATCGCAACAAAATTTCAGCCCCCTTAGCCGGGTTGAAATTTCAGCCCGGGCTGAAATTCGCCATGTAATCAGGCCCTTAGAGATGATTTGGCCCACGCGAATTTTTCCACGCTTTCCAAAGTTGCAAGGATATTGCAAAGTTTGCCATCGGTCAGGTGCTGTCACGTGCTTGTCATCGTCACGCGAATTTCCCGCGTTTGCTAAAGTGATGGGAATTTCCCCGCGCTTGCCAACGTTATGGGAATTTTCCCGCGCTCATCATCGGTTACTGTTTTCCCGCGCATGCCATCAGCCGCTGATGGTTCAGCCCACGTTTTGTGGGATTGCCAAATGCCATTGTCCTTTATCTTGATGTTTGATTTACGGCAGCCATAACCACTCAATGTACAGGATACCTACCTGATAGTGATAAAAAGCCCTTTTTACAGGATCTTCAAGGACTATCAGGATTTTCGCGGACTTGAGGAGATTGCTCGCACTGTACGGAGACTCGCGGTTAGTGAAGTATTCATCGCTCACTTCATAAGACATCTGCTCTACTCTCGTCGGGCGCGGAAAAAATTCCATGTACCTAGTTTGGAGACCAATTCACCAAATTTAAACAAAGGAAATCATGAACGTCACAGTGGATATATGATGTTAATTAACAAACATTTTAACGATTTTATTTCTCCGTTGTCTACTTAGTTTAAGTTTCGATTGAGAAGATATATCAAACACTTAACACAGTGCTTGATCACTTTTCTAAACACCTCGAAGTTAGCGTTTTTATTCATAGCAAGTCCAACTTAATTGCAAATATAGGCGACCGCAAAACACGTAGCGTGTCTCTAAACCGATCTGGGCCGGGTTGTTCGAAAGCCGGTTAACGCTAACCCAGGTTTAAGAGTTAACCGAAGCAGTCATTTTTCTTGTATAAAAACGTTTTTCACTACTTATGTTTTGTGTGGTTTGAGATTGCTTAAGCTCACAACTGAAGGACAAACAATATAAGCAGAAAACCTCACCGAAAAATTACCAAACTCAAATCAAAATTCTCGCTAACCCTGGGTTAGCTTAATCGGACTTTGAACAACTCGGCCCTGGTTTCTTCTTCGTCGTCGTCGTCGGCGTCGTCATCGTCACTCATCATGATCGTCATCATCACCGGTTTTTGTACCAGTAGGCGCATAAGGCCGTGAATTCACGCACCGCGGTCCAGTTTAATTTAACTGCGTAAGGTTCTACTCTAAAGGGTTATAATTTCTATCTCCTCACCAATCCAAGCCTTTCATGTAGTTATCACTGCTGAAGAAGCTAGTTCCCCGGGTCCCGTTGTTTGAGGTGACTGCAAGCAAGAAATCCGGATGAAGGTTGAGAAGTGTTACGAGCACGTCCAGGCCTCCAAAAGGAGGCCCGATCACTAGGAACGATGGGAGCCTGTTACAAGACTTCTGACTGGGCCAGATTTGAAGATGGCGACTGTCATCACAAGGGCTCTAAAGAAAGGGAATGACACATTGTCAATACTCCTTAATAATTTCCATAGATTTCTCTTACGTTTAACTGCGAGAATTTGGTCACATATCAAGCCAATAGTCCCTGCCTGGAAGGAACTATGTCACGGTATTTTGAGTTATTTTGGCCACGCACAAAATTACATTTAAAATATTGAAGGAAACCTGAAAATGGTAGTTGACTAAGTTAGAAGAGCAGGTAGGAGATAATAGCAACCCATAAAGGAACAAGGATGGTTAAGGACGGAGAAGATTAACACGGATTACAAACCGAACAACGGGGTTTTCGAGATGAACAAACCGTGACGTAGATCCTTTGACAACGAAGATGAGTTCACCCGACTTACCAACCACACTGGAACTTTATCTTTTGGAAATAAATTGAAGTAGATATCCGCGAGTTCAATCGGCGACGCGTATTTTACGTCGAAGTTAGTCCAGCGGTGAACAAAGTTGACAAGCCGGCTGATGGTGTAAAGTGCTAACTGGTCGTTGCCATAGTTTGTCATGTGAGTCATTACAATCATAACCTGTTGAAGACGAAGGCAGGCAGAAGGAAGTTTACCATACAACCCCAAAATTTAGAAATTCCAGTTGCAAAGTGAATGGAATATAATACTTCTCACCGGATAGCTCTGCAGATGTGATTACCTTATAGAAGCGCGCGTGTACTAAATTTTGGCAGCTTAAGGGAGGGCGCTCTTTGGAGAAAGGGTGCTTAGTGTCATTATACCTTGACATTCTCAAACTGCAAAACGTGAACTTGGCTAAATTTGCTCTGAAGGAATTCACTTAACTCTAAACTAACAAAACGAAGCGATCTCAAATCAAAACTACAGCAAGCTTGTCGTTCTATAAGAAACTCGCTCTATTGTGAAATTAAAACTTATCAATGACGCTTGCTGTAGTTTACAGTGATTGAAAAAGTGTTGTGTACATAACATCGACTTACTGGATTTCGCAGAAGGGTTTCAAACAGTTCCCCGCCCTCGATACTTTTATCCAGCGCCTTCTTCCCTCCCTTGATCTCAGAAAAGAAGTTAGTTGTCGTAAACAGGCCACACGTTTGACGCGGGAGAACCTGAAATGATAAACGTTCACTGGAAATAAGATCTGACAGTTCCAGAGCATGCCTCAAATAAGATACCTTCGTTCTAAACTTTGGGTTGGTGGAATTACGAAACCCTCGTGTGTGACCATTCAAATGAAAGCTATTGAGCAGTACTTTCATGTGGTACTGTTTATTATGCTGTNCCTTCGTTCTAAACTTTGGGTTGGTGGAATTACGAAACCCTCGTGTGTGACCATTCAAATGAAAGCTATTGAGCAGTACTTTCATGTGGTACTGTTTATTATGCTGTACAACGTGGTTCTAAATTTTAAGTCTGTGGATGAAACCCTAGTGTGTGACCATTCAAATGAAAGCTACTAAGCAGTACTTTCATGTGGTTCTATCCACATTACCTTTACTCCTTTGTAGATGAATCCCCGTCTGAACCAAGCGGGTTTCAAGTGCGGATACTCTTCAGTCGAAGTCACACGAACTTGCCTCACTTTCGACCACGCATCGTAAAGAGGTTCATGCACAGGATACACGCCTGAGTGATGTGGAGCAACCATGTACGACAAGTCCATGGGAATGCCGTGTTTCTACAAAAGCAAGATCCCATAAAGTTTATCGCAGGAAAACGACGGCGTTTACTGGGCAACAACAACAGTGTTATAGGTTAACATCTAAGAAAAAGCGAAAAACAGATCACATTTGTGGTTCTTATGATCCTCGTTTTTCCTCCTCGATTTATGGCCCCAAGCGCTAGGGCCATAACTCGGTCCGTAACTTACAGAGCGGACCGAGAAGACGAGGTTAGTAAGATATTTATTTTATCTCTACTGTGTGTCCGACGATTTCGGGAATGATTTCTATTTGCGCGGAACGGCTTCAAATTTCTGACGCACGTTGAAAGCAAAACGAGTCAATTTGAAATCGTGGTTAAGTCGTTAGCACGTTTAAATACACAATTTAAAGTACAAGAAAGTTTTAAACTTTTACTTTCTGTAAAGTACTTGGCCATAAAACACGAAACGTTTTGGAAAAAATCAACTTTAAATTTTAGCAGGCTGTACAATAGCATGAGACCCGCTAAATTGACCAATCACAGCGCGCGTACTAACTGAGAGAGATAATAATAAATGTTATTATTTCAGAATACGTACTTTTAGCTGACAACGCCAAAAATCAATTGTCATACCTTTGCAAACTCCTCATTCTTAGTAAGGGATCTCACAATCTCTTCATACGTGTGTTTGTGAGGCTGCTCGTGATCATACAAGTGACCAAACCAGGTGAATTTATGCGCATGCTCTAACAGGGCGTCATCTCCGTCGTTCTCTTCGTCGTCTCCTTGTTTGAAGCTGCGACCCGAGAAACCAAGATTGAACTTGAATCCGGGCACCTTTTGCGACAGTCTATCCTGAACTGATATCATCTCCTAGATAAAAAAGAAAAAGAAATTACGGAACAAACCCGCGGGTAAGAACCTAGTGGTTTAAAGGCCGATACACACGAGGGGTTTTGCTCAAGGAGCATGTTCCAGGGTGAATTTTCACGACTACTACACACTGGTGAGCATAGTGTGGGAGCTTGCTCCACATTATGATACACACGAGGGAGCGTTTCCAAGTTTGTTCAATTTGCCCCGGGATCTTGCTCCCAAAAATTTAACCGGTATAATGTTGTGGAGCATTTTGCAGGGTGGAAATTCTGCTCCCGAGAATGAATTACGCCCATGAAATCGTTGGTACACACGGAGGAACTTTGCTCCCGGAGCGTGCCCCTGAAGCAAAACCCCTCGTTTGTATCGGCCCTACGAACCTGCTGGCAGAAATTTGCCATTTTAATACTCAAAAATATAAGAATCTGTTTAGCCAAGCAAGATAAAGCAGGTTCTTATATGTGGGTTACAGTTAAAATAATTATGATGAACATTTCAACCATGGAGTGTGTCTCTGAGATTGCACATTTATATTACAGGAAGATACCTGATACAAAATATGAAGACATGATTGATCATCGCAGTTGTATACACAACTTAAGCAGCTGTGAAATTTAAGCCTGAAAAAAATTCAGGCCCGTACTGGATAATCAATCATGTCTTCATATCTCTCTCAGCATTTCAAATATATGATCTTTCATATATTCACTTGCATACCTAATACAGTTGTGAATAAATACTGAGCATTCAAGGACCAAACGCAAGTCTATTTACTATTTTTCTGGTAATCAACAACTATATCTCCTTCACAGAAATTAAGAACCTAATTAAGAACCTACTTAGTCTAAATTGCCAAAAACTGTCCCAAAATACAAGAACCTATTTTGCAAGACTTTCAAAAAAAATGTAGGTTCTTACACGCGGAGTTTCACTGTAATTGATCAGTGTTTATTACTAGTTTTACAATTTTAGGAGTGGTTTTCATTCGGTGGTGGGGATTTAACCCGGGTCATAATTGACCGAGGGGGTTAATCCCAGGGAGGGGAAAAATATACTGGGGTGTGGCAGAGAAACTAACGGGACAACACTGAACAGGACAAATATTTTAAAAGAAGACTTCAAATTGCTTCATTCCAGAAATTGAAGAGGAAAGTTTCAAGTAAAATTAAATGGTTTCTCTAGAAGACTTGTATAAAAAATAATGTTTAAATGTTTACGCGACAGAATGAAAGTTTGAATCGACATGGTTAATTATCAAAAGACGAAGTACACACTTTCGATATCTATTGGTTCATATTCATTCATGTTCATTGGTTCCAGTGTTTCTATAGCAACATCAAGTGAGACACACTTCTTCCGTGGTTTGTCCACTGTTTTTGTTCAATTCGTTTTCTCTGTTTTTTTTCTTTTTTCTTTCTTTCCACGAAGTCGGTTGACACTTGAAATTTGGAAAAAAATGGCAATCGACTTTCATCTGGAGCCACCGGGTACACTCCGAATGGGTGCGTAGCTTTTCTAATTCAACTTCAGACTACTCCAAAACCGTTTTTGCAAGACGTTGGATAATCCTTATCTGCGACTTTCTGTAACCCAATCAAAAACCTCGCACGTGAACTTACGTATGGTTCAGCTGTTGACATGAGCTTATCAAGACCTCCGCTTGAAAAGCTCCCAACATTAGTATTCTAGTTGGAAGGTTGTTCGACCTATCCGATAGTTTATTCCGTAGAACCCGCGCTACCGTGACAAAGAGAAAAACAAGAAAACCAGGACTCAAGTAACTGATACCAATAAGCTACCCAAACTCCACTCGAAATAATATCGACAGACACGACACAATACGAAACGAGATTAAAACGAACGCGATTATAGACAACCAAAAACTACTGTAATCCCCCTGCACAACATAAAACTGCTTTGTATCTTTTTCTCCTCTGGCTGGGTGTGTGTGGTCGGAAAAGTTGACCGTGTGTTTACAATAGAGACTTGTTTTTATGGATCATTGCAACATTGATTATCATTGTTGACCTTCTTGGTTTTAGCGCCATAAAATTTTAATGCAATTAACTTTGTTTACAATTCTTCAACAGACATCAAAGCCGAGACGAATTCTCGGTGACTTACTATGATTAATAACGTTTCATTATTCCACTAAGGTGCTATTTTACCATATAAGGTCAAAAGAACGGAAAAAATATTAACTTTTATTATCCAACTGCAGCGAATACCGTCCAAACAACAGTACAAATATACAGCGATATTATACAGTAGAAAACCTGTTTGCCGTACAGGTCGGCGCGCGCACGCAAAACTGTCACACTCTCCCTCTTTCATTGATAAATTATTGACTACAGCAGTTGGATAATAAATCTCCTATTAGATGTTTTTGGTGTGTAGTATCGCTGCATATTTTTACTCGTTGTTTGTATTTTGACTCGCCCTACGGGCTCGTCAAAATACGGCACAACTCGTATAAATATACAGCGATACTACACACCAAAACATCTAATAAGATATATGTATTGACTGTAGAGTCGTATTCGCACGGGCCTTATCCGGATCGCTACGATTTTCGGATGATAAAGGATGTATTTAACGAACTAGAAGCCGAAATAATAGAAAAAGGCAACATAGTGGACTAGTAAATCCCTTATTCGATCGGGGCGGGGAAAATTACGAGTAACGAGTACAATATCCGCACGTATTATATCCTAAACCGTCGAATAAGATGTGTTTATCTTGACCATGAACGAGCAATAAGATATTCTTTAATCTGTCTAACAAATCTTGTTATACTGCTTGAGGTTAGGTCAGGATATTCTAGGGGTTTTGTGATATATCTGTTGCTCTAAAAATTGGATTAGACGAGAAATAGAGAGCGGTGAGAAAAAAAATAATAAAAACAGGAAAGTGCTGGATTATGGGTCCAACTGGAGAAGCTAAAAACGGATTTGAAACAAACAAACGTAACACTTTTTTGGGTCGGCACAAATTGAATTTCACGGTTTGATCGTTCAGAAATCTTCTTCGTTCATTGTGTAGGGAAGAGGTTAAAGCTGCTTGGGGGCGATCTTTGAAAAAATGATCAAAGTCTAACTGGCACAACATTTTTATATAGATTTAACCGCTCTAATACTCGAATTAGGTTAAATCTTCCAGTCTACGGCTCCTTATCAATTCTCGAAAAATTCACTCAAGAACAGTTCTAAAGGGCATCACGAAATTACTCCCCAGTTAATGATGTTATTTAATATTCTCTGTTAGGCAATGTATTGACATCGTGAAGAGAAATTCGTCGTAGATCTTTAAAAGAAACCCTTTGAACAGATGCCTTGAATGGGTTTTAAAACAAAATGTCGCGTTTGTTAAGTAGGAACAAAATCCGAACCAATGCCTTTAGAAATTGCCACTCCTACTAGTTCCCATCGGAAAATCGGAATGGGGTTATATTGGTGCCCTTAATCCCGTTTATTCTGGATTTTGTCAAAAAGAAATCACGGTCACAATTTTTTTAACGCGAATCCTGCGATAGGTCATAGATTCGATGCTCGCTAAGCCTCGCATTTTTGTTGGCTTCTTTGGTATCGAGGGGCAGGTACAGGTTGCCATTTCGCTTTTGGATTCTTTCTGAATACTGCGTTACGTAAGCCGCGAAAGAAGTACTAAGTTAAATTTGGAAAACGCGCCCAGTTTGAATCGGAAGTTTGAATCAGTTCTAAACAGCCTTCGTCACGGATGTCGCATTGTAAAAATAACAGAAAAAGCTCAAACTGTTTAAGTTTGCTGTTCCTGAACTTTTCCTTCTCAAAACTGTGAACTATTTCCTCTCGCTCAATTACGTAAGAGATGTTTTCTTGAAACGCAAATTCGACTGAAACGGAAATTGCGCGAAATTCTCTGAGGTCTGAGAGCCACAAAAACAAGCAAGAATTCCAGGCATCGTAACCTTTCTCCTCTCTTAAATTAATCAAAACCAATGTTATTAAAAGTTGTTAAAATGATTGATGGTGTGAAGGAATGCAACGGCTAGACGATGAACTAAAAAATAATAATGAAAAATCTCAGAAATATTCGATCCCGCGACCTTCTAAAACATCCAAGTGATTAAAACAGTGAAATGTCGCGATAACAAGAGGTATTAGAGATTACCAACTTATCGTTGAAAATATGAATAAAGAGAACAAGACACTTACTGGATCCAGGCAAAAATATGGGTGGCCAAAAATACAACTGAATTACACGTTTTTGATACTTAAGATGCAATTTCGTATTTCATGGCGCCAAACTTAAGGATGTTAATACGATTTCTCCTGATAATTATATTGCCAAAACCACAAACATCCTCTTTTAAATCAAAACGAAAACAATGAAGCTCTTTAAACAACGCTATTTACGAAAATCTTGTTAGAGTTCATCTGCGCTTATTGGGAAATTAACTCCACGAAAGTCTAAAAATATACTAAAATAGCGAGTCTGCAAACAAATGCCCTCACTTTTTAAAAGCAATAATCTTTTAAAATTTTAAAAGATTATTTTAAAACCGGCTTCGAAGTTTTTTGTTTCATAATTTTCTTATCTTACCACTTAATAATACATAGAGGCACCTTTGTCAATAGTTCACCCAAAAACAGACCAAAATAGAATACAAACAAGACTAAATCCCATTTCTCAGGGCCAGAACTAGAAGTCTAACTGTTTTAGCGTATCCCAATGGCTGATATTTTCCCCTCAAACTCATTAATAATTAATCAAGTTAAAACGAAGAAAATCACCGTTTGGATACCCGGTCTTAATTAGCATAGATTTTTGACGATTTCACTTCTCCGTTTACTCCTTAGTTTTTGTTTCGATTGAGAAGATATATCAAACACTCGAGACAGTGTTTCATCGGCTATCCAGACACCTCGAATTTCGTCAATAATACTCTGCTGTGCGTCGTATTTTCAACTGTCTTCTCGGTGTTGTATATCCCGATGAAACACTGTCTCGAGTGTTTGATATATTACATGAAACATAAAACATATCGATAAAACTTATCTATTGGCCAGCGTATTTAGTAAAGTAGCCTTCTAATGGTCTTAGAAATTTCAACTTCCAAACACCTAGCATGCAAGCATTTGACTGAGCTATTAAATACTGATTCGTTTTCTAACACTTGAAAATTTTTTCAGGCAACTATTAACCAATAAGCCCACGACAGAAACACTCTATGAAATAGTGCGGATACCTGTCTATTTCATCAGATTTGGAGTTTGCCAATATGCTCAGCAAACTGGGTCATCGTTAACTTCGTTAGGAATTTTCTCTTTCTTAGCTAGTTTAAAACATCAAACTGTTTTTGAGCAGCTACATTTAATACTTGCTAAAATAAAAAGGTAAAAAGATTAAAGTAATTTGTTTTTCAATGGTGGTTGTGAGAGCGAGAAATTAGTCTCGCAGGGGTTGTTTTTCCTTGCGCGCAGACTATGTTTCATCAAAAAACCCACTCCAACTTATAAAATTTATTAATTTGTGGCCAGGTGCACAGTACGGGAATAAAACTTACCAGAACGTCTCGTTTTTTCATCCTTATCCCAGTCTTGGAGATGAAAATATCGTCAACGTCAATCTGTAGATATCTCTCAAGCGAAAACACAGTAGGACTAACTGGGGATAAATACTCCAGGCTGTCCATAAACAACATTGTGTGTAGGAAAAACGGAAAACCTCCGCCGAAAAACACTTTTTTAACACCGTCTTTTCGCCCATCGTCCAGCAATACCGTGGCTTGGTCGGTCACTGCGATTTCCAGGTCTCGTTCTCGTCTCTTGTTACGATTAACAACATACTCAACTGTTTCGTAGGGAGTTACTGAAGGGTCATATCGAAGAAAACTCCACCTAGTTCCCTGTCCTTTCTGTACGTAAGGCTTTAAGACAGAGCCGCCTCTTCGAGTTATTCGTAAAAGCTTCGAGGTTTCATTTACCTCAACATCTAACGTTTGTTTTTCCTTCTGCGGTTTTATAACCTCAATGCCAAACTCTGGTATCGCTCCTACATGATTTGAGATGAAAAACAGAAGGCCTGTAGCAAATTTCTTGCAGTAGAGTCTTACTATTTGCTGCACATTGGGTTTGAGTTCTAGGTAAGTTTTGATGTCTACGAAAATTACAAGTGAATAACGTCCAACAGTTACATCCGGTTTTAGATCTTCTTTTAAATCCAAAAACGGCCTATCGTCAACTTCACTTACAACGTACGGCGCACGAAGGCCGTCCAAAAACCGTGCTACATAGTGAGAGAGCTTCGAGCGTTCTTTTATCCAAGATTTATGAACTAACAATATTTTCTTCTGAACTTGGAATGTCCTGTTGCCAAGTCGTGTCGACGAAAAAGTCGATTCGTCGAAAGGAAGTTCATTTGGAGACGTGGTCTTCCAACCAGCTTTTGTCAACTCCGTGGCAATAACGTTGTCTGCAAAAGAAGAACAAATACATTTATTTTACACAACCTCGAAAGGTGCGGCCGCCATTTTGAAACTTAGGAGCAAATTACAGTGTTTGTGCGGGAGTTCTATATCAAATATTTTCCGCAACATTTGACTTCTGAAATATTCAAAATCCCTAAACTAAACATACCAGTCAAAATATTTTATTGATCATATTAAAAGTATTCATAAGGGTTCACCATTACAATTCATTCCGCAGATTTTGACCGTCAAACTTGACCAAACTCTCCGTTTTCTTCACAGAATTTTCATTTCAATTTATTTACAGTTCCAAGTTATTTGACAGAACATTCAATGTCAACAGAGAAATTCTGTATTTCGCACCACGTTCGCTACACGTAATGAGTATAACTGTAAAATTATTATTTTTTAAGAGCTGCATTTTTTTCCACAATCATATGCTCTCAGTTGCAAATTGCCAACTGACATCGTTAGGATATCACAGCTCACGTTTGCTGCACCTACGATACAGAAAACTAGACATAAAAAATGAGTAAAACAGCTGCAAAATGCAGTAAATTCTTTGTCGCCAAGGCGCATCAATCCAGGAGCCCCAAAGAAGAAGGGTAGCTGACTTTAAACCGGCTTTTAACGCCGCATAACAATTTTTTGTTGTCGTAGCTGCTGGAAAAACGACACTAAACAACAAGAAATGCTCAAAA